ATATATATATATATATATATATATATATATATGCGCCTGCATTTACCTACATGCCGCTGCGGATAGGTAAATGCAGGTACACCCCAAGCAAACAGTCTCACAAACATGAGTACATAAAGATCATATTCGCAGGACAGGGGGAAAAAACGGACACGTGAGGCTCCTCCCCACACCACCCTCCACCAGGTGAAACGGAGGGGGAAGAAACAAAACTCCAGCAAAACCAAAAGAAACAAAAACAACTAAAAAAAACTTGTAATCCGGTGGGAAATAGACAATGACAGGCCTGCACTCCTTATCTGTTAGATCGCTTCCAGAGGTCTTGTCTTTTTTTTCCTTCGTTGCTTTGACTGTTCGCTCTCTCTAAAACACAAACACACACACACACTTTTTTCCGGTTGTGCATATATGCGTCTGCGCCCATCTCACGTTGACGTTGTGGTCATCATTGCATGCTCCAAGTCAAGTGTTGTATGTGCAGCATCAGCGAAATATGTATATATATACATATATATATATATACGTACAAAATGCATTTACGCGTCACTAGATTTGTGCCCGGCCCAATGCGTTCCTCGGGATTCCTTCTTTTTTCCTTTTCATTTCGTTGTGTGGAGGCAGCCTTCTTGCTTTCCTTCGGTTGTGGTTGCTGCTGCGGTTTTTCTCTCTGGTCCGCTGCGACGCCTCTGCCAACGTCTCTGCTCAGACACGTCCCCGCGCAGCTACGCCGACTAAGGTTCCTCAAGTGCAAAGAAAAGTCGGTGTTGGAGTTCACGCAGCTTGTTCCGCATCTCCGCCCACTCCTCCTCTGTTGGGGGCTCGGGGTGCTGCTCAATGCTGTTGAGGACGATGAGGGAGTGCTCGGCGGTCTCCCTCAACACGCGGACCTGTTCGTCGCTCACGCTGGGTGAGGCGGCACCCAGCGGGGTCGGGACCTCCAGCACGGGTGCACTCTCCCCTACAGCGCCCTTGAGCGTCGGCCTCGCCTCCGACTTCCTTCGCTGCTGCCTCCGCGACGGCGGAGGTTGCGTCCGCGGGTGCGAGCCCGCGACGGTCCCGCGTCGTTTCCCATTCACGTTGCTTTTGAGCGTCGGGTCGGTGGCCGGCGCCGCCTCGCGCACCTGCCGCAGCTCCAGGATCTCACGCTGCTGCTCCACGATGCGATTCAGCAGTCTTGCGTTCTCCTCGTTGCGCAGCCTAAGCGTGTTCTCCAGCTCCACCCCACGCTCCTCGGCGTCGTCGTCGCCCCACGCCTCCTCGTCCTCGTCGTCGCTCTGGTCGAGGTTGTCAATCGGGACGTCGGCGTCCACTACCTCGACGGGGTACTTGAGCAGCTCTGCAGGGGTACTCCTCGTGGGGTGTGGAAGAATGCTGGGCACGGCAGCGAAGTCAACGTGTTGCAGCGTACACTTATTCTCTGTGAAAACAAAGACATCAAACTTCATCTCTCGCGCCGCCACTTGCCCCTTCTCCGTGCGCATCATGCCCTCTACGTCCACGGTGACAATCCCCTGACTCTTGTACTCTACCGATGCCTCTGCATTCCAGTAGGCGTCCATGCCTTCCAATTTTTTACCTTTTGTATTGAGCAGACGTACACGCAGGAAGACACCGGGGCTACTCGCCACCGCCACCATCTTCCCCTTTGTTTCAACCTGCACCGAAACCGGCTTTCCTGCCCACGTCCCAGCGGAGGAGGTGCAATACCACTCTGACTTGCTCCCGGCAAGCGGGGAGATGGTCATATCGTCTGTGTCACAGTACACAGAGAGCCGCCATTCATCCTGATAGGGGGACTCTGTAAAAGGAATGTACACATACGACTCTCCCGCCTTTAGGTTCGCAGAGGTAGTAATGTAACTGTTGCTAGCATAGAAGTTACTAGCGACAAAGGTGGATTTTTGTGGTAGTGGAACGATGGCCTTAAGGTATCGCCTTTCCGGGGCAAAGTTGGTGAAGAGTCTTCCATGTAGGCGGGGGCGCTTATTTGGCTCCTCGCCCTCCTCCTCACGCGACTGGGCACGTTGACGGTCTACAGAGAGGTACGACAGGGCAAACACCACGCGACAGTTTTCTTTTGGTTGCAGACGAATCTGTGGATTGCAGCGCCAGTCAAAGCTGCTACCGCCGCGTCCCGTGAATTCGGTCCAGGAGCCTTCCAGCACAGTACGCACCCACCCCACCTGCTCTGGCACGGCGGTAAGCTGAATAAACTTGTCACCAAAGGCCGAAAGCGCAAACTCTGTCTGACGACCGCGTTGACTGGTGAAGGGAACTACAACGTACGGGGTTTCACTCGGTTGCAGCGTGCAATACAGCACGTTTTCGCTGTTGGAGGTAAATTTCGCAATCTCAATCATGCGTCCATGAAAGTCCAGCTGCTTCAACCCTGCCTTCGAAAGCTCAGGGTCACCCTCAAAGAGGGCTAGCCCCATGAACACCGTGTTATTCTTCTTCTTCTTCAGCATACGAGCCTCGTAAAGCAGGTCTTGGATTATAAATGCAACGTCCGTGGTCTCCGTCACGTACAGGTAAAACTGCGGATTGTCCATAAAGGTCGAGAAGATTGGACGGCCTCCAGAGGAGGTGGCGGACCACTTGTCAGCAATGGTGACACCGTAGTATGGAAAGGGCGATTCCGTCTCTTGGGCAGTGGCACGACCGTAACCCTCATGCACAGTGTTTTTACCAAAGGCACGCGCAAGACCTTCAAGCAGGCGAAATTTCACTTCACCGTAGCGTGGGTTATCGCGCACGATGTCAAAATTATGTTCATTGCTGCAGCATAAATTTACAAGGGCGTAGGAGGCAAGAATAGGGACCCGATGGTCACGTGTTCCTGCGGGGCTAAACAAGATTTCAATAAGTAGATCAATGCCACCAAAGGAGGCTATCGTGTACTGCATCTCTGGATCTCCGTGAGCCAAGCGGCCCACACAGTTTGTCGCCGCCTTGGTGAGGTTAACGACCTCCTCGGGGACGTTACGTAACGTCTCAAGGAGTTTGGGAGCAATTTCAAGCCGTTCAAAGCTACGTCGGGCATCGGGGTATTGATCCACAATCGCAGCCACTGCTGTACATGCGGCCTCCTGCACCTGCTGGTTTGGATAGCTATAGATGAGCTCCACCAGCTCTGCGTACACCACGGGGGTGAGCTTCATTTTGTTTTTCAGGCAACCCCGACAGGCGGCCTCAAGCGCCACGCACGCCGCCTCCTTGCAGCGTTCCTCCCGGACTTGTAGCAGCCGCGTCAAGGCGTCAATTCCGCCAATCTCCTCAAACATCTCCCGCCCGGCATCATCCAAGACGCTAGCAATGGTCTGTGCGGCGTTGGAGCGGTAAAAGATGGAGGCAGAGTGGTCTACAAAGTGCACAAGCTGCTCCAGCCCGCCCAGCTCGCGAAAGCTCGCTTTAGACTCAGGGAACAGGACACAGTGCGAAGTCAAATCATCAAAGGTCTCGGGCAGATTTGCCATGATGCGGGCAAGCTCTGTTTGCATCTTAAGCTTCTTCTTTTGTCGACTCTGCAGACGACGTTTGTCGAAGCGCTCGGGGGTCTCGTCGCCGTGCTGTGGAATTTGCTTCAGCTTCAGGAACTCCGCCGCCTCGTTGCTGCGCTTATCGCGTAGCTCCTGCTCCAAGCTGGCGATGTGAGACCGCATCCGCTCAATCATATCCTCCATCTCCGCCAATCGCTTGTAGTCAATTGCGTTACGCACTGGACGCAACACCAACTGCAGGGCCCGCTTGCCAAACTCGATCGTTGATCTCGTCTCTCCACCCCACAGTGAACTGCAGGAGACTGCCAGAATAAAGTGAATCAGGTTCGTGCCCCCCAAGCTTGACTGTAGCAGGTACGTCAGTTTACTGTCCTTGTACGGGATATGAATGCGGCGTCCCTTGTGCTTCGCCTGCTCCACAAGCTTAGAGACGACGTTGCCAAGTGCGCTGAGCGACTTATTGATGTGAATCGCCTCCCACATGCTGTCGCCCTTTGCACCCGACTGTGCCAGCCGCTCGGAGCCTGCAAGATCAATAAGGTTTAGTTGCGCACGTGAGCCAGGAAGGGAGGGCTCATCCCACTGCAACTTCATCATCATAATCATATGACTGCGTGAGGAGACAAGGTTCATCTCAGTTGCCGATGTCGCACGCATCTCCGACGCCTTCGTGTAGAGCCGCATCGTCTCCTCAAGACTCTTCACACGTGTCCATGTCGCATCTCGTGCCACGTACTGCCCTGTGCGGTCCATGTGTATTTCCAGTGTTTTCTGCCCCGACAGGAGATCCTGGATCTTCTCCTGGTAGATCTGCACAAGACTCACCTCGCACACGCTGTCGGTGATGTCCTTGTTCGCCTCGAACCTTTCAAAGACGGCACGGATCAGCCGCGGCGTCAGTCCGTACCCCTCCAGCTTTGCGCGGTTGCCCTCCATCGTGTAGGTCTTTCCGCTGCCTGTCTGCCCGTACGCAAAGACAGAGGCGTTGTAGCCGCTGAACAGCGTGTCCAGCACCTCCGGCCCGATGACGTTAAAGACCTCACTCTGCACCACATCGCGGTCAAATACGTGGTCAAAACGCGTCTGCAGCTCTGGTCCTCCGTCCTCGCCCTTCAAAAAGAGGGTGTCAGGCATTCGACTGTCGCCGCGGCATATGAGTTCACCACCGCCCTCCCTCTTCTCACGATCGTTCAGCGGGCGTAGGCGCACATACACGCGTGGGCGTGAGACAGCCGCCTTGCTCATTCACGCTCTATAAGGATCAACCTGCCTTACCTTTCGCGCAGCACGGGTGCACCCCTGCGAGGAATGAAGGATGCAGAAAGTAAGCGTGCGTGCGTGCGTGTGTGTAGGTGTGTGTAAGGGAGAAAAATAAAAAGAAAAAATCAGGGAAAGCGCACAAGTAAAAAAAAAAAAATCTCCCTGCATAAAATAAAAATAAACATCCCTCTCAACGGCAAACGACGCGTGTAGCAAAATAATGGATAAGTGACAGCACCACTTCTTGCGAGGGTCCATGCATATGGCATGAGAAGCCAAGCGCGTATATGTATGTGCATGTGCGTGTGTGTTTGCCTCTCTCCCCCCTGGGCGGGGGCAAGTATGCCTACGGGGAGGTGGAGGCGGTCACAGGAGCCCAGGAGGCCTACAGGCATACAAGAGAAGCGGGCTGGTTACGAGGGGAGGGGGGGGGAGGGGAGGCCACGCAATGAAGGAAAGAAAAGATACCGCAGAACAACAAAAGAAAAAAAAAACAACAACAACACACACATAAATATATATATAAATATATAAGCTGAGACACAACAACAACAAGAAAAAAAAACAGGCATCACAACCCGCAAGGAAAACCATGCAGCCAGGTAAAAAAAAAGCCAAAATGATGGCTGGGAGAGGGGAGAGGGGATAAGGCCTCTGGATTCAGCTTCTTACAGATGGCAACACTCGCCAGACGGGGCACGAGACTTCGTCCTCGGTCTCCTTTTCGTACAATAGCAGATAGGAGTCTGTGGAACGACTACGAAGTCCCTGCAGGCACGCCGGTTGCAGTACGTCCACACGAACATCATTGGCTATGTGCCAGAGTCGTGACGACGACTTGACTTCCTCACCGCCAACGCTGCTGCCGGCGGCGTCAGGCCTCGGCGGCGATCCTGGCGCAGTCCCATCCGCCGCGAACTCCGCGACGTAATGCCCGGCAATCGGGGAGGAACCGATATGCCGCACCACGCCCTGTAGACGATACACGTAGCGGATGGCGTTTACATGCGTCTTGGCGTCGTTCCCTGCCTCATGCTCCTCCGCGCCTTCGCACCGCCGGCTCACGCCTGAGCCACTGGAGTCATCGTCTCCCACCAGGGATGAAGTGTCTGACATCTTTCCCGCCTCATCCCCCTCGTGCTGCTGCTTCGGTGTTACGTGCAGCCCTAGTTCTTCGGCCGCGCGCTCCGCCTCTCGTACGCAGGGTGTCAGCTGCTTCTTCTCGCCATCAAACTGTCCTTCTTCACGCAACGCATATATCGTAAGTTTTTCATTGAGAAAAACAGGCGTTTTATCCTTTAACACACACACCCCACACACCGGGTCGTAGGTCGTGGAATACCGATTCAGCTGTATCGTAAGAATAGGTGGTACCGGAGCCAAGAGACTGCCGCCTTGATTTTGCTTTTGCGAGGACCCACAGGCGTCACAAACGTACCTGTCAAGAGGCACATACCGGAGTGTGTGCTCTAACAACGTCTGAACATCTTTGTGACGACGTTTGCCAGGCTTCGCTTCCAAAGTGGTGGGAGGCTGCAGTTCACTAACGGGCTCCTTTGGTGGTGGGCGGGGTCTGCCAGGAACAGCCTTACTCAACTCCGAGCCACCGTTATCCGCGGCAGGCGACTGAGCTGGCAGCGTGACTCCCGCCTCCGTGGCGCCTGTCCTGCTTAGATTTATACATACGTTGACATAGGGGTCCTGGGTGGCGATTTCATGCCCGCAGCCCTCGTTCCCGCAGCGGATAACGTTTAGTAGTTTCCCTCCAAAGAGTCTATTGATCCAGACATGCGATGGGTGAATGCTGGAGGCATCTTTGCCGCCACTTCCTTCGGCTGGGCAGTCGTCGTTAAACAACGCGTTCGCTTCCGCCTCCGTGGGCGTTTTTTTACTGTCACGGCCGTCCTCAAGCGTTCCATCCCGGCGTTTTACTGCTGCTATCGCCTCCGTCTCTAGAGTTTGGATGAGCTCCAAGAAAAACTCGTGGGCGTCCTGCTGTTCCCCAGAGAAGAAAGGGGCGGAAAAGAATCCACGCAATGGACTCATATCAATTCCATATCTGACAAGCTCCGGCCTCTCAAGCAAGCGGGCAAAGTGTAGAAGCACCTGATGGGCACTTGTAAAAGTCACCTTTTGCTGCCGTTTGGGAGACGTGCGGGGCCAGCCTGTATTCATCTCATCCAAGTCGTCGTCTCGGTTACCCTTGGCACCATTCCCGTTAGCGGAGTCAGTGGGCTCAGGCTCAGGCTCAGGCTCAGGCACAGGCACAGGCGCCTCACGCAAGGCACGGCAAAACCGAGGACTACGTAGCAGCAGAGTCAAAACACTGCATGCATAACAATCATTACTGGGGTTTATGAATCCGCTGGAATGACGAGGATCGCAGCCGAATAATGGTGACCCATAAGCTGCCCGCGAAGTGCCCCGCAAATGCAACTTCTTCGCGCCGCTCGCTGGGAAGGCGTCCGGTTTCTTTTCCACGCCTGGATAAAGTTGACGAGGGGGGTATGTATTTCTTCTCAAACCCCAAGACGTTTCTCCAGGATACGCTAGTGAAGTCGCCGCCACTGGATAGGGATTCATCTCCGTGTACCTGGGCGCCGCGCAAGCCACACTCTGTTGGGAGTCACCTGCAAGGCAGCACTGCCTATACGAACTAAGAGAGTGTGGTGAAACTGCAGCTCGCAGCTGCGGAGACACCACCGATGTCTTTACTGCCCCCCTTTCCGCCGGTGTTGGTGGTGGTGAGCCTGGAGATTCGTGTCGAGCCATTTTCATGGGCGACATGGTGGGATGTATCATCAAAGACGTTGACTCGCGCATCGGCGAAGTTGCGACACCTTTGGGGGCGGAAAAACGTGAAGCTGTCGTCGTGGCATTGCTGTTGTTGGGGGCAAACCCGCGCGCCTTTTCTCCCCCCTCCCCATTTGCGGCTAGCATTCGCCTGCTTGTTTCAGCGCCGTAGGTATCGGCCATGGTTGAGTAGCTTCGGCCTGCTTTCGACGGCGAGATGCCTGCTGTGACGGGGTCACGGCCGTTGCGGTGCGCTACTCGCGGGCGCATCCCCAGCGTCGAGGGAGTCCGCCTCCCTGCGGAGTGCTCGTTCAGCCTTGAAATAGTTGCGGGAGCCGCGTAACGGTTCCCCCCCACACGTGAGGCGCACGGGGACGTGCCCCCATTCGAGTTACCGGGGCACGGCGCGGCGTACCGCGACGCTGCGGCCGCCGCCCGCCGCTTGCCACGGGGCTCTGCTTCTCACTCCCCTCCGCCAGACCGCGACGCGCCTCTGGTGAGTCCATTGGCCGCGACCGGCTTCCGCCTGCACCACCCGTTGCAGGCGCGGTTGGCTCCAGCCGAACCCTCTTCGGTACGGGAGAAGTTAGCAGGCTCCCCGACGTCGGCGACCTCCGCGTCCGCGGTGGCCTCCAGGCAAAACTACTACCGCCGCTATTTGGGGGGTGCCACTGTTCTCGCTGTCTGTTGCTCGTCCCCACAGCACTGGGGTTGTCGCCGTCGTTGGTCCTCTCAATTGCGTCGGCGTAATCCCCATCGGAAGAATCGCTACCACCCACGCCAGCACGGGAGTTGCCGCGCCATGGCGAGGCCGTATAATTTCCATGGGCAAGAGGAAAAGCTTGATTGTGCTTCAAGTATCCATTGTCGCCCTCCAGTGCATGACTGCTGGTTGCTTCCGTGCGCTTCTTCTCAGCCTCCAGTACCTTTCGGCCATAATTCATTGCTATTCGTCGTCGATACCTTGTCCGGGCCACTGTTGATGCCGCTGATGTTTTTTTATCTTCAAACCCCTCTTATTGCTAGTACCAATTTATTCCCCTCCCACTCTGCTCCTTTCTTATGTGACTCCCTCTTTTATTTTACTTGCACCTTTTATGTATTTCTCTCCGTCGTTTTTGGCCTTGCCCGTTGTGGGTGGTGTTTCGGGTTTAGGCGTGGGTTCTTGTGTCCCTTCTGTTTGTGTGTGTGTGTGTGCACCCTCCCCCTCCGTCTTCACAGGTGGCTCCGTGTTGCGGCTGCCTTGCCTGCTGTCCGAGGCGCGACGTCTCTCCCCGTTGCTTGCACGCCGGACCTGAACACGCGGAGATGGGGAATATACGAGCACTTACTTACCTGCACTGGATGTATATACGTATGTATGAAAGTGTGTGTATGGATTTAGTTAGATGCGTGTGTGTGTGTGTGTGTGTGTGTCGCAGGGAACAGCCACCGCCGCCAAACAGCCCCTTCGGTGCAACGGCCTCCCCTCGGCGCGTCTCGTCAGCCCCGCAGACGCCCGCCCAATTTGCCCCGCCTCCGCCCTTGACTAGGTGCAGCCGCGCGTGTGTGAGACTCCGCCTGCGCTAATGTGCCGGTGTCGTCCGGCTCCCTCCCCCGCGCCTCGCCTGTCGCTGCCACCACCTACGCCTCCACGCACTCCCGCCACCAGCGGCTGCGGAAGCAAAAGGCGAGAGAGAGAGAGAGAGAAAGAGAGGCTGTGAGTGTGCGTGCGAGAAAAGAGATTGAGCGGGAAGAAATGGTCTCGTGCAGACACCCATGAGCGAAGAGCGAACAAACAAACAAACAAACAAAGAAAAAATGAACGTTCTGGTCATCAGTCATCCCTGGTGTTCTGCCC